AAATAGAATGTTGGATATGGGGAATGTCAAGTAGGCTAGTTTGGATAAAATGTAGAGTTTGAGAAGGGTAGTAATAGTTTAATGAGCCTGGAAAGCTTGATTGGTGAAAGGTTTTCAATGTTAAACAGCTTTTTGGTTGGTTTGTTTGTTTTATCTTAGAGGAATTAGAAAGCCAGCAAAACTTTCTGAGGAATGGAGTGGAGTCATATGATCTGATTCAGGAATATCACTTTGGTAGCTGTACAGAAGATGGACTAGAGTAGAGAGAGACTGGGTGCAGAGAATCCAACTAGGAGGCTATTGTAAGCTGAGTCTGTCTTAGTGAGCTGGTTTGGTGCTTCCAGTCTGAAACTGGAACAAAATGAGATACCCCATTGGATATCTAACAGTTAACAAAAGGAAATTTACTTAGCTACAGCATGGAAAGGATGCTCAGCTAGGCTATAGCTCTAAATCAGGTAAATATAGGCCCTTCTCATCTCCATACGGAATCACCTCTGGTCAGTAAAATATGTTGAGTGTGGTAAATCTTTTGGCACTTCAGACAGTGTCTGAAGAGCACTGCCTACTCATGGGCTGGCCTCTTTTATGCCTTTAGGTAATCAGAAATTCAAATCAACCATTGGAACCTTAGGCCCCTGAACCAATCAAGTTTCAAGGATAGCTTCTCTTCCTTTTAGGGGAAAAAATCCTAACCTAATCCATATGGCTTATACTGCTTCTACCCCATACGCTAGCTTAACAGTACAGACTAGGTGATGCCAGCCTGAACTAGGGTGATTGCAGTATTAATGGAGAGAAGGGAAGAGATGGATTGAGAAAAGTTGCTAAGGTAGAATCAGCAAGTCTTGACAACTGATAGACTGTGAGAGGTGGTAAGGGAGAGGGAAGAATTGATGACTGCGACCTTTTAACTTGGGTGAGGGGGAAGGATGGTGGTACCTGCAGTAGAAACAATGAAGTTGATAAGAGAGGTGAGCTAAAGGATAAAGAGAATGAGTTGTTTTGGACATGTTAAGTTTCATGTGACTATTGGTCATCCAGGGGAAATATCCAATAGGCAATTGGTAGTACAGGATTAGAGCTCAGGAAAGAGACTAGCAGTGTATCCTTAGATCTAAGTCATTTGCAAAGAGACAGTAATCAGAACTTAAATACATTTTCATCCCTTCTCACCCTCTTCCCACCCAGAGTAACTGGTTCATTCTTGTGCTGGTATTAGAAAAAGTATTGCACTATATAAGCCAAGAGACTACTACCTCTCCAGTCATATAAAAGGAGGTAGCACGGTACAGTGAAAAGATCACTGGCTTGGGAGACAAAGGACATGGGTTTAAATTTGTTTAAATTTTAATTTAAATTTGTTTAAATCGTATCTTTGATGCTTACCATTTGTTTGACCTTAAGCAAGTCTTTAACCTCCTTAGACCTGTTTTCTTATCGGTAAAATGAGAGGTTTGGACTAGATGCCTGTCTTTCAGCTATAGCTCTTTGACTTTGCTATCCTCTATTTGCTTATTTACAAAATGATAGTAGAACAGATGATTACTAAGGTCCTTTCAAGTTCTAACATTAAATGAGACAATTCTAGTCATAATGATGTAGTATGTACTTGGACACAAGGTTAAAAAATGTATCATAATAGTCTCTTATTTCTTCTGTTTGCAAACCAGGAAATGATTAAAATCCACCCCTGGCATCATTTCCTTTAAAAGGAAATGTTGGCATATCCAATTCATTGAAAAGCTTTAATCTTTAGGAATAGAAGCTTTCTTTACCTTCCACAGTTGTCATTTTCTTTGATAATTGTCCCCCTTCCCTTAGGGTCACCCCCACCCCCATTGCTGTGGGAATTACAGACCAATTTCCCCCTTTCCAAATCGTTGTTGGTGCTTTGCTCTTTATGTTGCCATGGGAGAGAGCTACTCAGCTATCACAGCCTCCATGCTAGTATCAAACTTCTTACCTCCCTTATGGGTCAGAAGAACTTGGGACTCAGAACTCAAAGCTACAACTATTTCAGCTATATTATGAGTAAAAAGTTTTGTGGGCTGGCTTGGACACTGAGTAATCCTTTTATAACATTGTTTCTATAGGAAAATCATTCAAAGTTCAAATAACTGACTTGCAAACTGTATTTAATACCCATAAATAAAAGTTTTCTAGCCACTCTCTGGTTGTGTTCAAGTGGATTTGGGGCCTAAAATGTCTACCTTGGCTATTTATACTTATCAAAATAACATAATTGCCAAATAAAGACCAATCCAGATTTCTAGACTCACCTCTCCCTATGCTACAGATTGCTTTATTCTATATAATTTATTATTTAGGACCATCATTTGTTTTTGGAGTTTTGTTAAAATAAAAAGAGCAAAAAGACAATATTATATTATGAATACAATTATTTTAACAAAGAAGCACAATAAGGGTATCTGGAAAGTATTAGAAACAAATTTTTTTGAAAATCAAATGTAAAGGAAAATAAAAGAGTTTGGAAAAAATATCTGGGGAAAATAAATGCAAGAGCAGAAAAACTGAAATGTTATCAAAGCTCAACTATATGATCTATTTTATTTCTAAGGCAATACACATTCCCCCAACTTTGGGAAATGAATTGAGAACCAAATGAAAATAAGGTTTCAAAATATTTGTTAAATTACCTTAAATCAGAATTACTGAATACCCTGACACAAAACTTCTTATTTTTGAACATCAGGAATTAGATGGTCAGTCATTTACTTAAGATGAGAATATATCCGTCCTTAAGTTGTATATGAGTGTATTTAAACTAATTTAACTTTTTTTTTTGTAAATCAGACTTTATGTAGTTAACTAGAATCTATAGGAATATCTTTTTAAAACATAAAAAGAACATTTACAGAAGTTACTAAACCAAGGAGTCTGAATGCTGAAGCCTGCTAGCATTCTTAAAAATAAGAGTTTTGATTAAAGAAGCTTATTTGCTTTCAACAAAGCTTAGATATGCTCACATTTTTAATAAGGCAGAAAGAGAAAAACTAGGAATGCCATCTGAAAGTGAGGGAAACTTTTGAGTACACAACTAGCAATTAAGACACAGGAAACTAAAACTATCTTACAGAATCTGTACCTTTTCATATATATATTTGTAATAAGAAACCATGTAAATTTTGCCATTGACTAACTTATAGAATTCAGGATTGGAAAATAGAACCACTAAGGCAAGCACCCTTATATGAGCTGGCAAGCTTCAAAAGATTACCTATATAGTGATTTAACTCTATCTAAAATGTGATAATATCTAAGTGCTTTGCAAACCTTAAAAATGGTAATATAAATGCTAGAATGTAATCGAATCACAGCTTTGGGAAAATTTGGCTTTGAAGATGAAAATAACAGTATTAATGATATAATTGGAAAGAATCATTGAACAATACCTTAAAATGGAAATAGCATTAACTGGAAGTAAGCTATTATTGAATGTTTGATCGTTTTGTTTGTTTTTGCAAGTGATATGCCATGCTAAGATTCTGCTGAGAAGACACTAACCCAATTTCCCTCCCCTCCCACTTTAATACGAGTGAACATTTAGATTCAGTAAAAAAAAAAAAAAAAAGATTCAATGTCTACTAAAATGAGTGCAAAATAATGGCATGCCATGGATATTAAATAATAACCGTTCTCTTTGGCTGATTTGCTTTTTGCCAGAAGCTTTGATATAGATGGGAATTTTTTCTGTTGAGAACGAAATAAATGTCCCCAGTTATCGAAAAGCATTGCTGAGCTGCGTTCGCAGGAAGGGGGCCCAGCCACCCGGGTGCCCCATTTCCCGGGTCCGATGCTTAAGCTGAGGACTCTGGGGCTTCCCTGGCCCCGAGGCGCAGCCGTGCATCCCCCACCAGCGCCAGGGGCGCCAGGACGGGTTGTCCAGGCCTCGAGCCAGCCCTGGTCCTGTGGGACACGCAAGATGGCCTAGCTAGGGATGGACGTCTGGACGCCCCACACCATCGCTCTCCGCTGGCTGGAATGTAATAGCTAAACATTCAAACACGGGGTTAGAAAAATTCAGGCAGCGAAGCGATAGGCTGGCAGGGGGCGGGGTGGGAGCGAGTTTTTGGGACACGACACGGAGCGAGGAAGTCACCACGCGGGGGCGGCGGCAAGGGCGAAGCTGCAGGCCAACCGGCCCTCTGTCCGTTCCGGCCTGGTGGAGGTGTAGGAATTGGGGAACGAGAGGGGCGGGGACCCACGGATGGAGGGAGGGCAACTGGTGCGGGAGGCACGCGGGACTGCGCAACCGTCCCCGGCTCTCGAGCGGCACTGCCTCCGACACGCCCTCTATCCCCTCCCCCTCCCCCTCCCCCTCTCCCCGGGTGCGCCGGCGCGCCGTGCCGTCACGTGACGTCTCCGCGCGTCCACGGTCTCCGCGCTGCGGGGTTGTTGGCCGGAGAGAAAAGACTGCGAAGTGGCCGCGGCGGTAGCCCGGAAGGTGGGGGCCGGGGAGAAGTCGGGGTGGCTCGCGGCGGGCGGGCGGTAGCTCGAGGGGTCCACGAAGGAGCGTGGGAAGGAACTCCCAAGTGTCACCTCTTCCTTCCTTTCTCCCTCGCCTCCCCTTCCGCACCCTTCCTTGTCCCGTTCGCCTCCGTGACGTGCCGCGATCCGGGCGCTCCAGACCGGAGGGGGTCGGGTGGCTGGGGGCAAGGGGTGCGGGTGCGTAAGCCCGACGTCCCCGCTGTGTCGCGGGCTTTGGCTGGCCGACCAGCAGTGGGGAGGACGGGGATGGGGCTGGGCAGTCCCCGGCCATCGGGTTTCTCTCTTTCCTGCTTTGGCCTCTTGCGAGGGCCAGAAGCCGGCGGCGGCCGTGGCCCTGGCCTCTGTCTAGACCCCGGCCGCCTCTTTAGACGTAGGGAGGACGCCGGCAGCGGCTGTCCCCGGTGCGAGAGGCGGAGCTGCGGCCATGCTGCCCCGCGGGGGGCAGTGCAGCCGGGGCGGTGTCAGCCTCGGCCCGGGAGGGCTTCTTGGCGGGGGTTGGGAGGGGGCACGCCGACTCACCCCGTCCCTGGGCTGCGGGTGGCCCGGGGTTACTGTAGGCGCGGTCGGAGTCTTTGGGGAGGTCACCCCACTCTCCCTCCAGCTCGAGGCTCGTTTTCGTCCCTACTGGGGGTCTGTGGTGTTGTGACCAAGGCCCAGAATGTGGTTCCGGCCTCGATCTTGTTACTGGTTTGGAGAAACTGGTGCTAATTACCCTCCTCTCTCTCTCCTGTCTCTTCCCCCTCCCCCCACCCCCAGTCTTTCTTTAATGCCTCTGCTGCCCACTGCTCTGCATCCACCCGCGGGGGAGGACGGCTCACCCGCCCACTTCCTTCTCACAGTTAAATCTGGCCTTGCGGACTTGCAAACCTTTGTTGTGGTGGGAGTTGAAGCAAGCAGCTGATCAGTCTTAGGAAAAAAAAAAACTACCGAAATTCAGAATTCACACGGTGCTTCAAAACACAAAATGTGTTATTGAAACCGAGGCGTTGGCGAGGTGCTTCGGTTTGCCGGGTACAGACTTCTCGTTCCCTCCCTCTCCCTCCCTCCCTCTCCCTCTTTCCTTCTCTCCTTCCCTCTCTCTCCTCTTTCTCTCCCTCCACGTTTCTTACAAAAGAGTGTTGTTTTCTTCCATTGTTGTAGCTTATTTTGTTCTCTGAAGGCTTCTGGAGAAAGGCAGATTTTGAGGGTGCGGGGAGATAGAACAGCCTTCATGGGTAAAATCTGAAGATGTGTAAGTTTTTTCACGTACTGACAGAATTTGCAGACTAACGAAATGGATTTCGCATTCACTCATTTTGTGTGATGATACTTTGCTCCCCCCACGAGTCGTCTGGCTTTGTTAAAGGGGCCCTTTAATCTTCTATTTTGGAAGTGCATACATGCTACTTTGGCTAGATTCTCACTTAAGCAGTATCTAAAATATTGAGGTGAAAGGGAACTGAGTCAAAATGCTGCACAGTCAACACTAAAAGAAATACTATCTCCCATGTATGATTGCCATTTCAGGGGCCAGGCATTTTTCTTTTACATTTGTGTATATCCATCCCTTTAAAAATAGAGCACTGAAATTGTGAGAAGTTGGCTCTCTATTGGTCTTTGAAACTAGCAGGCTTATGAAGATTGCTTTTAAATGGAATTATTCTTTTGGTAACAGCAGATAAATATATTTACAATTTTTTTCCCCCAGTGGTAACAGAAAAAAACTCAGAAAATATCTGCTGTTGGGACTTGATGAAAATAGGTCAAGTAAATAATTTAAAAAATAAAAAGTTGATGGTACTTTTAAAAATTGAGTTTTAATTTGCCAACATAAATGTTAAATTTTTCCCTGTTGCTAAATCTAGTACATGTTTTATTAGAGAATTTGGAATTGGCCAAAGTGAAATTGTAGACAAAATAAAAATGTATGAAACAACTAAATTTTATCTCTTTATGTTTTTTGTTATGTCTGAGATGCATGTTGGATGTTAATCAGTTTAATAGGATTTTAGTGGTCATATAAGAATAATTCTTCTAAATTTTGAACTGAGGTAAAAGGGAGAATAAGAATATTTTCTTTTTTCCTCTATTATGTGGGTCAACTAGGGGAGTATAATATTTTCCATTGGAGTAATCAGAATTTTTTTCTGTTCACTCCAAAGTGATTTGTTGAAATGATGGAAGATAATAGAATAATAGAATACAGGTTTGTTTGTTTTTTTTTTTATTTTTGCATTTAGTATAAATTGTGCAACTATAATTTCTGTGCTTTCCTTAATATACTAAGATGAAACTCCTAACTCACTTCCAATAGGGAATTATGGTTTGAGGTTTTTTTGTTTTTGTTTTTTCATTAGGGTTAAGAAAGTTTGCTGAGCCATCTTTTTCTTTCCTTGTATCTGTTTATGACCCCGCTCACATTTTTCCAAAACATCTGGTTAAGAGTAGACACTAGCTTATTAACATAGCTTTAACCAACTTAGCATATTTTTTGTAGAATAGTAAGTCAAAGGTTTAGCTCTGGAAGGGACTTTAGAGTTTATTTAGTTCAGCCCTATCATTTACAGAAGAGGAAACTGAGGCCCCAAGAGATTAAATGACTTGCCTAGAATCATACTGACTGTATATTACATCTAATAACCTGGGACTATTTGGTTAATTCAAAGAAAAGCTGTTAAATGTCTGTCTAGTGTGGGCACTTAAAAACCTTAGAATTATACAGCTGGATTGGAGCATTAAAGACTTAACTTGTCAAATTTCATCTAACTTGAACCCTTCATTTTATGTTATGTGATTTAGAGTAGTTCCTCCATGTCTTTCAGGTGACATAAGTTTTTGGAGGTTAATCGACATGCCCGAGATTACACAGCTAGTTTTTGGCAGAGCCTTTAATATTTATAAAAATATTTGCAGATCATCAAATTGATTTTTTTTGTTTGATTAAAATGCAGAATGTGAGAGAGCTTAATATTTTGTGAAATAGGATACAGCATTGACATTTTAAAGAGAATTTAAAACCTTAATGTCCTCCTCATTAGAAAGATTAAAGTTGTAAATAGTGGCAAACTAGGAAGGAAAAGTTTTCTACTTGTTAAGTGAAATTGTGGCCTTTAGCTGGGAAGAGGTGGAATACAGTTAATTGAAATTGGTTTTAAAACAAGACTTTTGCTATAAAGCATAATTTGTACTTTAGCAAATGTTAGTAGAAGATGATAGTAGAAACTAAAAAGGGAAATATTAGGCCATTCATTTCCATCCAAAAGGGGAGGACTAAAGAGAGAGAGAGAGAGAGAGAAATTTCAGGTTTACTTGCTAGCTAACACCAATTTTCTCTTTGCCTTTGCTTCTTCAACCTCTCTATTAAAAAAATTAATGTGTTAATTTCTCTGGATTAACTGAGGTTGAAAGGTTACATTTTTTTTCACATAATTTGCTTCAGCCTTTAAAAATTTAAATTTTGGAGGATGGAATATTTTTGAAATTTGAAAAAATATCTTTTCCATTAGAAAAGTCAGGGGAAAGCTTAACAAATAACTTATATTTGTTTGCAATATTAGATAATTTTATATCTGTCCATTAATTAGTACCATTTTAAAGATAAAAAGCAATCATTTTTCTTAACACATTTAACTTTTCTGACAGAAATACCCTGAATTTTTTAGAGTTTTGATGGAAACGACAACATTGTCATCCTTAAGTTAACTGGTGATATAAAGTCAATAATGCTAGGTAAGTAATAGTTAATCTTAAGTGGTTCACTTAGGTGTGATTTCCTGTGTGTGTGTCTTGTGTGGGTGAGAGTGAGATTTTTCCATTAGGTAAACTACTTGTTTTATTAAAGGCAGAGGCCCTATATGTTCACTGTCTTTTTTGCTTTTTTTTTTTTCTGTAAAGACTCCATGTCAAGGAACAAAGAGATCTAATTTTAGTTTTCTCTCCTGTCAGCTTTCCTAATGATTCTATCTTTATGTAGATGCAAACAGGCACTGAAAGAACACAAAAGAGTTGGGGTAAGGGGGTCATATATAGCTTACAAATTTCTGATTAGTCCCTAAATCAAAATATTGTTTAATTACTGCTTTTGTAGTTAAATCCAATTGAGCATTTTGATTTGTAAAATAGCATTAATGCACAGTTTATATTAGATGACTCTTCAAGTTCAAAGATGCATTCCTCTTCTAAGATCATTTGCAGTGTACTTAGATTATTTTAAGATTGTTAAGTTAATTACCATCCTGTAGTTCTATGTTTGAACTCTTAACAGGTTTACTTATAGATAAATCCATATATTATCACCTTTTGGTCAAAAGTAAAAGGTAATTTCCCCCCCTCACATCATTCAGGTAAAGGTGGGGCTTTGTTAATATGTTTTTTATTTTTAATGGTAGTAGCTATATAATGTAGGCTTCACACTTGGCTATACTAATTCCTCACTTATGACCTCCAGTAAATTGCTTGATTTCTCTAGATTGTAATTTTGTCATCAGTAAAATGTTGGTTGGACTAGATATCTCATTGACTTCTTAATATAGATTGTTCCCTTGATACATATTTAATTGACCAGTTTGGCAATTGAGGTTAGGCATGCCTAAATCATTCACATCTTGGTATATTGAGCCCATTTTATAAATCAGTTCATTTTTGAGGAGGTTGGTATTTTAAAGTGGCTTCAGCTTTTGATTTTGAGTAGTTTGTGGTATTGCTTGTTTCATTGCATGAAAAAAATACATGGAAAAAAATCTTATTTGACCTACAAAGGTCCTCTTTTCACTTGTTTTGCTTCACTGGATTTTTGACAATTTTTAAAAAAATTTTTGTGTCTTTTATTTTAATTTTATTTTATTTTGGTTAAGCAGTGGGGTTAAGTGACTTGGCGAGGGTCACACAGCTAGTAAGTGTTATGTGTCTGAGGCCAGATTTGAACCCAGGGCCAGTGCTCTATGCACTTCGTCACCTAGCTGCTCCGATTTTTGACAGTCTTTATCCTGTACTCTGGATTATACCCAGGGATATGGATGTTGGAGGAACCGCAGTGACTCCCAAGATTTCGTATATGGGGAGATTGAAATATTCTTGATAATACAGATTGTGAGCTGTTTTAGTTTCAAGGATTGGACATGGTCTTCATTCGTTTGTGGCTTTGTTTTTTTAGATGATTTCATCCATATGGGGAAATTCAGGTGAGAAAACTTCTACAAATACAGATTGGTAGTTTTTCTGTAACTTCGTTTTAGAGAATTCTATGGGGTATTAATGAGAGGTTAAGTGATTTATCCAGGGTCACACAGCCCATATGTGCCAGAGATAGGCTTGAGTCCAGGTCTTCCTGACACTATGCCTTGACTTTTAGGTATAATCTGGTTTTTACAAGGAATGTTCAGATTGTTGAAAATTTTTTGCAACAAAAGCAAATAAATTCAAGCTGTGATGGCCAAAAGGTGCCTTTGGAAAGATAAAGTAGATATAAAGTAATTTTAAGAATGTGCCCAACCCTCTGTTACTGTTGTAATTAAGATGGTCTTAAATGATACGGAAAGAAGAAAACAACAGAACCATGAGGATTTTGAAAATCGATGGATAGAAGTTTTAAGATAAGTCTAGCAATTACCTTACTTTCCCCACTGAAAGTGGTATTAGGCAAGTCACTTAACTTTCAGCTTCAGTTTCCTTTTCTGTAAAATGAGGATGATAGTACTATCATATGGTTGTTCTGAAGACTAAATGTGATAAAACATGAAAAGTGCTTTGCAAATCTTAATGTAGATGTTAGCTGTTATTTCTGCCTCATAGGTCTCTCAAGCAATAGTGATTTATGTGGGCAAATCACAGTTCTTTGTTTTATAGATTTTAAAAAGAGGAAAGCAAAAAGAGGGACAACACCTATTGCAGTCTGAATTTGTTAGAAATTTTTTTTTAATTCTCATTGTTGTGCTGGGATTTTATCCATTTTTATTTAGTATTTGAGACGAAGTATTCGTTAAGACCTTTTTAGAAATATTCCATGAACACAATACTCAGCCAAATTAAGAGCCCAAATTTGTGGGCCTCCTAAAGTGTCCTCTAAAGAGTATTTAGAAATTTAAGAAAGCCATTTGATCCAAGGAGAGTTCATCAGATTAGAAAATCTCATTAAGCACCAACCAGATACTTGGTTTCAGTTCTTGAAGGCTTGTCTCCAGAAATGGTTAAGTAAATTAATAGAGGATTATTAGAAATAGAGTAAGTGAATTAAGAAGCTTGGAAATAAGCTTCTACAAGGAAGGCAAATTTTGAAATGACATTATTCTTTATATAGCCTTCACAAATAGCTGCTTTTGTGTATGATCAAAAAATAAAGTGTAATGAAAATTAAATGCTAAAGATTTATCAATAAAAATTTGCGCATTTTGGAGGAAAATGTTAGACTATACCTGATATAAATTCCTGGTGGTATAAATCATGATTTCAATTGTAAAAATGTTATTTTTTTAAGGGTACTGTTCTGCCCCTAATAAGGTTCTTAAGGATAGAGAAATAGGGTTATTAATAACAAAAGTAATACCTAAAGTGTTATGGTATTAATCTGATATTATGCAAGAACTAAGAGTCCCATATAAGTTTTCAAAAATTTTACTTATTTAATACATACTTCTCTAAGTGACGCAATGACCCTTACCCATTTTGTTAGTATACCAAACAATTTAGCCTTTTAACAATGAGCTCATCTTTATTTCATGAAATTCTCTGCTGTTCTGTAATTCAATAATGACCTGGAGGGGCTATTGATATGTTTGATACATAGAGTTGCTTGTCCGTGAATGGTTCCATACTGTCATACTCTTAATTCTTGTCCTTTAGAAACTAGTTTTTGTTTCTATTATCATCGCTTTGTCCTTACTTTGCATGCCTGCCATTTTCTAAGGTACTGTTGACTTCTTGTCAGCTGAGGAACCAGATAATTGTACTTTGGAATTTTGTGTAAAAATAAGAGCAAATAGATAGTGAGAGATGGTTTGTGTGGACTCTACTATGAGTGAAGAGATTTTAGTATGCATTGTGATAGCTCCAGTTTGCCTGTTTGAGGTCTTTTTTGCTTCCAAGTTCTGTTGAAAGATTTCCAAATAAGTAACCTTTGGTTAAGTAAGGTATTGCTATAATTACCATTGTACTATATAGCCTAAGTAATGTAAGGTTTGGATGTGTGTTTGTCTTTATTTTCTCTACTAAGTTGCAAACTCCTTCAGGGCAAGGATTGTTTTTTTTTTTTAATGTATCTTTGTATCTATCTTTGAGCTCCTAGCATAGTACCATGCACTCAATGAGTACTTTTAATTTTTTTTTTTTAATCTGAGACTTAATTCTCTGGGAAATTTTACTCTCTCAACCAGAAAATATAAACATGTGTGAGACTTTTAAAAATTACATTTCTTTTTTTTTTTGAGTCAGAAAAAATCAGCTTATCTTTCCCATGCCTGTTTCCCTAACTGAGAGTGAATCAGGGCTAGGGGTTGAGAAATCATGCTACAAACATGTATAATCAAGCAAAATAATTGGCCATGTTTAAAAGAGAAAAATATATATAAATATATGTGTATATTTGTGTATGTGTCTATGTATACATATACATGTCTCATTCTATGCCCTGAGTCCTTTACTTCTATCACAAAATAGCATGTTACATTAGTTGTCTAGAATTATTGTTGTTCTTTATACAGATCAGAGTTGCTAAGTCTTTCACAGCTGTTTGTCTTTATGTTATTGTCACTGTATAAATTGTTCTTTTGATTGTGTATATTCTGAATATGTTCTTATAAATCTCACATTCCTCTTAAACCATTTCCTTCATTTCTTGCAGCACAGTAGTATCTTATCACATTTATATGCCATATATAACTTGTTTAGCTATTCCCCTCAGATTCCAGTTATTTAACGCCTCACAAAGAGCTGTAAATATTTTTGTATCTCTTTACAGGTAGTTTTGCTTAGGGTTAACCCCATTCAGGAGACTTTTAAAAATTTACATTTTATTAATGCTTTTTAATATAAGTCATCATTTATTCCCTCTTATATTTTTGTGGCTCCTCACCTCCACTCCCCTGAATCAAATTTGTATCAGAAACCTTTAAGCAAAACCAACAAACATAGCGAAAGCATTTAATAGTGGATATACCACACTCTATATTTGTAGTCCCCCATCTCCTGAGAGACAGGAAATTTTGTTTCATCATCATTTTTCCTGGACTGAGATTGGTCATCTCAGTCAGAATTTGACCTCGTTTTAATGGGTTTTTGTCTGTTTATACTGGTTCTTCTAGCTTTGCTTTGTAATCATTTCATTGTTGTCTTCCCATGTTTTTTTGAGTTCCTCATTAATAGTTTTTTTAAGCACAATAATCTATTAAATTCATATACCTCAGTTTTTCTAGCCATTCCTCATTTAATAGATACCCATTATGTTTCTAGTTTTTGCAGTCAACAAAAGTGCTGCTGTGGATATTTTTTCTGCCTTCAACATCCTCAAATGGTATATGCCGAGTAGTGAGATCCCTATGTGAAAGGCTATGAACGTTTAGTCATACTGATTACTTAATTTCATTTTCTTTTCCAAAATAATTGGACCAATCCACATGTCCACTAACAGTGTATCAGCATATTTTGTCTTCCCATATCTTCCAACATTTATTCCATCTTTTATCCTCTTTGTTATTTGTTGGGTGTGAAATGAAACCTCAAGAGTTTTAATTTTCGTTTCCAGTTACTAGTGAGTTGGACTAAACTTTTATATACAGTATTCTTGAAAACTGTTTATAGTCTTTGACCTCACTTAATTGGTGGAGAAAACTTGGTCATTTGTGTCAGTTCCTTTATCTAGCTCTGATATCAGAGCTAATTGATGCCAAGATTTTTTTCCTCACTTGACATATTTGCTTATTTTATCTGTACCAATTTTTGTCACGCAAAAGCTTTTTAATTTATTTGAAATTGTCTACTTTGTGTTTTATGTATCCCTTTTTTGCCTAGAATTTTCACTCTAAATAGGATTGTCTTTGAGGTATCTCCTTTGATTTTAGTGTCTGACCTTTTATATTTAGGTCACTTAGCCATGTGAAGGTTAGCTTTTCAAATGTAAACAATATTTATAGGCAGTTTCAGAAAGGAACTATGTTTTTGTTGCTATTGCCAATTTGTTTTTTAAGAAGTTATTATTTTCGGGGTAGCTAGGTGGTGCAGTGGATAGAGCATTGTCCCTGGATTCAGGAGGACCTGAGTTCAAATTTGGCCCCAGATGCATAACACTAGCTGTGTGACCCTGGGCAAGTCACTTGACCCCATTGCCTAGCCCCCCCCCCAAAATAAGTAAAAAGTTATTATTTTCCTGAGATGTTTTGGTTTTTTGGCATATGCCGATAATCTATCTTGTAAATGATCTCCTTACATATTTCACTAATTTTAATCTTTATTTTCTTCAGTTTACAGAGAAATTAATGCAAGTAGGGCCTCCCTTTGCAACACAAAGAATGAACCAGTAGTGAGGAAAAAGCACTTTAACTTGACTAACTGCCTGTGAAGAGGATGTTTTATTCTTATAACAGACACCAGTGGGGTCTATGATAGAAATGTAAGTATAACATCACTTTTTGCCTGAAGCTGTTATTACTAAACATATAAATAACTGTAATGAGACATATATGAATTTACATACGATGAGAAACAGTAGAATAACTAGCTGGTGCTTTATTCTTATGGTTTCTGTTGAAAAGCTCAGAGGTTTAAATACTTTACGAACATTAAATCTTGGAAATAGCCTCCCTATTTAAGGTAGCTGGTAGTTTTATCCATTTATATAGAAGGTATGATTGGGACCCAGGTCCTGAGACTCTAGAACCCTGAAACTGAAAGTGATCTCAAGGTCATCTAATTTAGTTAACTCTAGGCAGTGACACTTAAGTTGATTATCAGCCAGTTCAAATAAACTCAACTTCTTACAGTACTATAACTGATCTTTTGGATTTGCTAACTTGTGTATTGCTAGCTTGCTCAATTAGTGGCACATTATGACCTATTGATTTCTTTTTGAAAGTGTGCTATCAGTGATTTCCTATCTTCTACTCAGTTGGTTTTGGGTCATAAGTATGTTTCTTTGCATTTGGAGTAGATATATCACCGAGAGCCTTTCAGTATTTGAGATAACTATTGAGTGTGTATGGTTTATTTACACTCACTGCTGTAGAAATTAAGTGAATTTGAGTTTTGCACAAATATGACTGCGTTTTGTTATTCCTGATCATTTACTAAGGAAGAAGTAGTGGAAAGAGAAGAGGACTCAGAATAGAGCTTTGTGATACAACCACAGTTGGAATAGGATGGGGATAATGATCCTGTAAAGGAGACTTTGGAGTGGTCAGACATATAGAAGAAGAACCAAATTAGAGCATTGTCATGAAAACCCAGAAAGAAAAGGGAGGTCGAGAAGAGTGAGAATTGACAAAATTGTCATTAGATTTGTCGATTAAGAGATGATTAGTAAGGGAGAGAAAGCAGTGGTTTTGAGTGAAGACATTAGAAGTCTGACTGCAAGTGATTGGGAAGTGAGAGAAGAGCTTATGGTAAACTTTTTTTCTCAGTTTAGTTATCATAGATTTAGAGCTGGAAGGAAGCTTAGAGGACATATAGTCCACACGCTCTTTTACAGATGAGGAAGCACAGGTGAAGTGACTTGCTCAAAGTAAGAAGCAGAGCTTTAATTTGAGCTCAGGTCCTCTGATTCCAAATCTAGTACCCTTTCTACTGAACCACGAGAAGTATAGAAAGACAACATGAAGGATAAGTGAAGATCAAGTAAAGGATTTTTGAGGACAGGGAAACCTAGGTATTTGTAGGCATCAGGAGAGGGACCACTTTTCACATTTGAATTACAAGAAATATAAATATGTAAATGTAAATATAACTAAGATGACATGATAAGCCAGTCTGCATTCAGATGTTAAAAATTTTACATTACCAAACCATGAAATATTTTGTAGGAATAATTAATGATAATGGAGTTAGACACAAATGTTTTATATTTGTTAACTTGAGCTTTGTTGTAAACATAAAAATAAAATGCTACTTGCTGCAGTGAAAAGAACTATTTTTGAGGGATAATTTTATTCTATCATGAAGTTTTCTCCCTTCCTCTTCCCCTTTTGTATTACCTGTTTTAATCAAGAGTCATGAGAGAATTACTTTGAAAATAATCAGTAGTTGCTTGTTTTCTCAATGGGGGGGAGAGAAGGGAGAGAATTTGAAGCTCAGAGTTTTAAATGTGAAAAATTGTTTTTACATGTAATTGAGGAAAAATAAAATACTAGGTAAAAAAAATAATTAGTGAGTTTCTTGAATTAAACTTTAAAAATTGTTGAAAATAAATTATTAGACTGACTAGCCATGCCAGTGAGGAGATAGCAGTACATTGGATTATTCAAAATAACCTGTGACAAAAAGCATCTGACTTTAAAACCATTTTGTCCATTATATCTGAAGAACGATTTGCTAAATATGGGAATTTGACACCATCAACTTCTCATTATCTCTGCCAGTAGAAGAGAGTAGAGGCATAGATAATGCCAGAGTTATTTATATTTGACTTAGTTGTTTATTGCATCATAGGTATTGGAAAAGTTATTTATATTTGACTTACTCTGTCATTGCAGCAAGTAGCCTTCCTATTCTTAATTTCTGGTTGATACTGAGTGCAATCCATAATTTAAAATTTCTATTGGTACTGGTTGTTTGTAAATCTTGATCCTTTTTGAGTTCTCTGCAGCATTTGACACTGTTGACTAGTTAATTGCTTTCTTCTCTTGAGTTTTTTTGTCTGTTTGTTTGTGGTGTTTTTTGGTCACTGCTCTTTTCCTGCCTAACCACTTCTTTAGTCTCCTTTCCTGAATCATCATCTGTATCCATTCTCCTGATTGTAGATGTACTCCCAAGCCTCTGTCCTAGGCTGTCTTTATGTAGTTTCTCACTTGGTCACATCATATGCTCCCACGCATTTAATTGTCATGATTATGTAATTAACTCTCAAATCCATATAGACAGCCCTTATTCATCTTAACCCCAATTTTAAACTGAATGTCCCTTAGGAATCTAAAAATCTCCATGTCCAACACAGAATTAATCTTTTCTCTTCTCATCCTTTGTTCAATTTATCACTACAATCTTTTCAGTCTTATAGATTTGTAGTCTCTGTAGTCATACTCAACTCTTTTACCTCACAACTCATATCTAATGTATTGCTAAATTTTGTTGATTCCACTTCTATAACCTTTCTCATATTCATCCTCTCTCTCTGCTCACATGACTACAATCCTGAGTTTTCCGTACCTCTAGAAAGGACTGTTGAAATAGCCTCTTTAAAGTTTTCTTAAGTCTCTCTCCAGTCCCTCTCCAGTCCATCCTCCATAAGACTAGCAGAATAGTTTTTCATAAAATCAGAGATCTGAGTATATCAGTACCAAGCTCAGTAAACTCAAGTGGCTTCTTATTTCCTTTATTATCAAATACAGACTTCTCTGTTTAGCATTTAAAACCCTTCAGAACCTAGTTCCAGATTGATTTTCAGGGCTTATTATGCATCACTCTACTTCCTGCACTCTATACTTAAGCCAAACTGTCCTTGCTGTTCCTCACTAAAACACTCCATCTGTTGCCCCTGCACTTTTGCATGTTTGTAATGCACACACTCATCATTTCTGCCTCTTTAAAATGCTGGTTTCCTTCAAAACTCAGCTCAGGTACCACTTTCTAAGTGAAATCTTTCCTTATGTTCTAAGCTTCTGGTGCTTTCCCTCCCAATATTATTGTTTCCCCTCAATAAAACCTGAAGTCCTTAAGGGTAGGGACTGTTAATTTTTTCTTTATATTCCCAGCAAATAGTAAATCCTCACATATATTGGAAGTTTGATATGAGAAACTAGAAAAACTAGAAATGAGTCTTAATTATTTTTTCATTTCTTGCTTGGCCAAGTCATCTGATTTTCTTACTCCAAGCTTTTTCAGGTAGGTACCAAATAGTTATCTAAACAGAACTATACTTAACTCACAGAGCTGCTTATTTTTCTGGCTAGATCCATTTATTGAGGTGAAGGTCCAGAAAAAGGAAGAAATTTATTAGAAAAAAATTTGAGTGTGTGTTGTTGAGAGGCATGCATGAAAATGTGCGACATGAAGTATGAGGCAGTCAGATAGCACAGTGGATAGAGTGTTAGGCCTGGAGTCAGAAAGATCTGAGTTCAAATCCCACATCAGACTTAATAGCTGGTTTGACCTTGGGCAAGTCACTTTGCCTTTGTTTGCTTCAGTTTCCTCAACTGCAAAATGGGGATAATAATAGCACCTATCTCCTGAATACGGGCCGCACGCCGACCCTCTGCCAGTCGTGCGCCAGTACCCACTTCCCTTAAAAGAAGTGCACTGCCAGAGTCTTACCCATGCCTGGGTCCTCGGTCCTCAGCCGGATCACCACACAGAGACAAGCCATGGGAAGGCACCAACACCAGAGTTTTATTCAGAGGCCAACACAGCAAACCATCATAGCAAGCCCAAGCAGCAAGGCCAGAGCAACAGGCAGGAGCCAGGGGAGAGCGCACGTGTGTTCTGACCACGCTTGTTCCTAAGTACCTACTTAGCCCCTCCTCCCCAGCCCGCTACTAGCCAATGATTGTAGGGTCAGATACCAGAAGGGGCTGTCTGAGTTTAGCACACCAAGGTGGGGAAGAGTGATGTAGGAGGCCAGGATTGGATACAGGAAGGAGGCATCTGGGATTGACGCATAGACAAGAGTACGTGACCTAGGAAGTCAGACTCAGGAGGGGACTGGGTCAGTGCTGCACAAGGTCAGGAAGGTCACAAGAGGCATCTGGGGATGACGTTGCATATAGGGAGGGGACTAAGCAGAGGGAACTCAGTCCTCTGCCGTCCCACTCCCACGTGGCACCGCCCCTTGCCTCAGGAGCTCAGGCTCGGCTACTTCCTTGCACCCAGCTTATGTCACAGAGCACTGCCCAATTGCCTCATGGCTTCTCCGTATCCAGCACATCCCAGTACACACGACTCTGCCTACCACAGTCCCTGCCTTGACTTCCAAAATACCCAGATCTTACCTTACCCATGCCACAGCACCCAACTGGCAGCTGCCAACATCAGACAGTCCCTCACACTCCTGGAGTTGTTTTGAGGATCCAGTGAGATATAGAAGCTCTTCGCATAGTGCCTGATACATAGCAGGGGCTATGTAAATGCTGGTTACTGTTGTCGTTATTATCATGATGAGCATGGCAGAGTTGCTAGTTCTCCTTTTTCAGCACCATCATATCAACAGCTCTAATAAAAACCTTTCAAACAAATTCTAAAGCATCATTTTTTTTCTTTCCTTAATCCATTAATTCTTTGCCTGATCTTGATTTTTTTTTAAATATTTACTATTATAAATTTAAGTATCTATATAAGTTGCAACCTCTTCCATCACCCACTTAAAGTAGTCCTTAAAGCAGAAGTTCTTAACCTTTTTTGAGTGTGTCATGGACCTCTTTGACAGTGTGATGAAGCCTGTTGACCTCTTCTCAGAATAAAGTTTTTAGGTCCATAAAATACTTGATAGTAAGAAAAAAGTCAATTGAAATACATTATCAAAATTTTAAAATTGAAAAAAAAAATTCATGCACCCCAACTTAAGAAGTTCTGCTTTAGGGCCACTGACAAACTGCTGCTTTTATTTCAGACACTTCCTGTGGCAGGTTAGACAAAAATCAGTGCTTCAAAGGCATTCTCAATTTGTATATGGCCATTGGAAAAAAGAGGTCAGTGTGGTATTGTGGAGACATAGTTGTCCTCTCAAGACCAGAGTTCAGGTTCTTCCTTTGACACGTACAGGTATTGTGGCCTTAGGCAAGTTAGTTTACTTCTCAGTGCTCCAGAAGAATCTCTAGGATTCTGAATTTCAGAGCTAGATCTTGAAGGGATGGGTAAGATATAAAGGACAGGAAGAGTCATTTAGTACATGAAGATTGATGTGTACAAAGACATGAGAAATGGGAAAATGTATCATATATTTAATTCAGCTTTGGCCAAAATAAACCCAAACTGCTTGAAAGGGATAGTAAAAGATTAAACTACAAAGAGATTGTGGGCATATTTTAGAGAACCTTTGCGTGCCAAACTAAGGAGCGTGGACTTTATGTAGTAGACCATAGAGAGCCATTAATTTTTTTTTCAGCAGTAGAGTAACAGTCAGAACTGCCTGTTAAAAAGATTAATCTGGCAACAGCGTATTCAGAATACTTAAGTTTGCTGATGTAGTTTAAATAAAACAATGTAAACCTTTGGTTGTTTTTTATATGATTGTTTTCTTAATATATCATGGCAGAAGTATTCCCTAAATATACATAATCTACTAGAAAATGGGTCACTTCCATTTAACTTTTCGATTAAATAGTTCATTTACCTCTGGTTTGAAAAAACAATTTATCCTATAGTTTTCTTATAGAGCCACAAAATTAATCTTGGGGTGGGAGGAATCATGGTCTGAAATATATGGCATACTTTCTTTTGGATTTGTTTTACTGTGTCTTGATTTCTCATAAAGTCACTAGCTTCCCATTGTTCTATTCTAGTTTTTAAGGAAGTATTTTCTTCAGTAAGCTTTTGGACTTCCTTTTCCATTTGGCCAATTTTGCTTTTTAGGGCATTCTTCTCCTCGTTGGCTTTTTGGACCTCTTTTGCCATTTGGGTTAGGCTATTTTTTAAGGTATTATTTTCTTCAGTATTTTTTTGGGTCTCCTTTAGCAAGTTGTTGCCTTGTTTTTCGTGATTTTCTTGCAAAACTCTCAGTTTTTCCTCTACTTCTCTTACTTCTCAAAATCCCTTTTGAGCTCTTCGAGGCCTGGGACTGATTTATATTCTTCTTGGAGGCTTTGGATGTAGGAGCTTTGACTTTGTTGTCTTCTTCTGGTTGTATGTTTTGATCTTCTTTGTCACCAAAGTAAGATAATGTAGTTTGGCTGTTTTTGTGCTGCTTACTCATGATCCCGGCCAGTTACCTGAGTTTTAAACTCTGTTAAGGTAAAAGTCTGCTTCCATTGTGGAGAATGTAGTGTCCCAAGCTTCAGTTTTCAGAGATACTTCTAGGGACCTGAAAATTTTCAGTTCTTCCAAGGTGCTATGATAAGGGGCAAGGTGTTTCCTCTCCACCGCCCCAACAAGCTTCACCACACCAGCATTCCTCCTCGCCCCAGGACCGTCCCTCAAGAACTGTGACCCAGATCCAAGCACCTGTAAAGCAAGAGATTCCTGCCTCAGCACTGGCAAAGAGATCCCTGCAATCCCCCTCTGATCAGCCAGTTGATTCCCCCTCAGTCTGTGGGCTGGAAGCTCAGGAGGCAGCTGCAGCCCCGGGGGCGGCTGAGACCTAGCTCCTCTCACCGCAGTCACAGACTTTTCCCACTGACCTTCTAAGTTTTCTTTGGCGTTTGTGGGTTGAGAAGTCTGGAAACTGCCATAGCTGCCCACGATTCAGCCTTCTGAGGCCTGCTCCACGTTCGTTGCATCCTGCGTGCTCACGTCGAACTGTGCTCCTCTCCCTGCCTGGTGAGATATACTTTTGTGATCAACCATCCAGGCCATCTTTGGCAGAAAATTTGGTTCACTCTGTCTTTTTGTGGATTCTGCTGCTTTAGAATTTGTTTAGAGCCTTTTTTTATAGGTATTTGGAGGGGTTTGGGGGGAGAGCTCAAGCAAGTCACTGCTTTCCCTCTGCCATCTTGGCTCCGCCCCCCATACTTTCTAAAAATAAAATATATACCTGGCTCCTTGTAGCATATCTGTAGCTCTTTGCTTAATATCATATGCTGTGTGGCTAGAACTAAGGCCATCTCAAATAGTATCTCATCTGAACTTGCAATTTTTTCAGTTAAGTATTGGGAGCCCCCAGTGAGGAACCTCCTCCTACCAATGTATCTTAACAGTCTTAGAAAGTTGGACATTGAGAGGTGGTGATTTTCCCAGGATTACATAGACATTGTGTTTCAGAGGCTGGACTTGAATCCTGACTGAGGTGAGCTTTCTCTGTCCACAATATCTTACCTGCCTCAAATATTTAGAATTTTTTTCATGGGGAAAAAAACTGAATAAATAGTGCTTCTGATGAGTGGTTTTAAATCTAATTGTTTAAAGTTAAATCTACCCCACTCTTTAAATTTTTTTGAAGTGTGTTATGAAAGAGGCTCTAAGTCTTTTCAAAGTCTGTATTCAGTGTCCCCACATTAATCTTTGCCGTGCTCATTTTTTTCTAATTCCTCCATCTCTTGCTCTTTTCAGACAATTTACTCAGTATTGCCTTTAATCCAGAAATGTCCCATATTACTCATCTTAAACACTCTCCATTCAAGCAGTCCTCAAAATGTGTATCTTTCTTTGATTAATTGGGAAAAGTAACTAATTTCTATGGAACTATCTATATGCAACTATAACCGGGTTTAAATAGCAGTGTGGAACTTAGGCCCCCAAAGTCAAATCTGTTCTTGGCCTATTTCATTTACTACCTCCTCTTTCATGTTAACTACTTCCCTACCCTCACTGCCACCCTCAGGACCTGAAGTTTCTTAGGTATAGGCAAGGAATCTCCCTGAACCTGAGCAGGTCACCTACTGCTTATTCTGCTTCTGGTCTTAAAGAGTTGCCTGGGGCATGAGAGATTAAGTGACTTCTCCTGGGTTATACTGTAGGATTTATCAGATAGGAATTGAACCATTTCCAATCCACTAGGTTTTGTGACCTCTTACAGGATTCTTAACCATTTTTGTGTATCATGGACCCCTTTAGCAATCTGATAAAGTTCTTGGACCCTTTCTCAGAATGTTTTTAATGTTTAAATAATATATTTGTGATGTTTTAAAATAAAATATGTAGGACTAAAAAAGAAACCAATAATGTTAAAAATCAGATAGCAAAATACTTTTTAAAAACTTGACATACCCTAGTTTAAGAACCCTTTATATTATAGTTATTTTCATATTTGTCACACTTCTCTACCCTCCACCTCACCCCCCTTCACTTATAAGCTCTGTCATAACTATCCTTTGTGCTTTGTACATCTTAGGTGTTTAGTAAGTATTTTTATGGAATTAATATGGCATATATATTTATATTGATACCAGTAGTTATAAAAGTGGTCCTGTTTTCCATTATCCCGAACAGCTAGTGCCTGCCCCTCTAAAGGGTACCTTGTATCTCCCATATAGGTATTTTGTATATACCTGTTAATGTATTCCCCACTTCCCAACCTCCTTTTAGCCCATTGCCTAGCACATAAGTATTTAATGCTTGGTGATTGATTTAAAAGGTCATAAGATTGAAGAACTGATTGGCAATCTATATGTATTACTTTAGTTTTGTTACTTTTCCTTCCCCTTCTCTTCATTTCAAGTTACTTTGTATTTGTGACTTTCAGTTTTGTTTGTCTTGTTTGAGCAGGGAATTGGAAAATTCATTGATCCTAAGTAGATAAATGATTATAATGTACATAGACATTTTTTTGTGACTGGATGATTTTGAAAACAATTTTTATATACTATGATAATGAATGCCCTTTCTCTTCTTTAGGATGGCTGGCTGTGGTGAAATTGATCACACAGTAAACATGCTTCCCACGAACAGAAAGGCAAATGAGTCCTGTTCCAATGCTGGACCTTCTCTTACTGTCCCTGAATGTGCCATCTGTCTGCAAACATGTGTCCACCCAGTCAGTCTTCCTTGTAAGCATGTATTCTGCTATTTGTGTGTAAAGGGAGCTTCATGGCTTGGAAAGCGATGTGCACTCTGTCGGCAGGAGATTCCCGAGGACTTTCTTGACAAGCCAACCTTGTTATCACCAGAGGAACTTAAAGCAGCAAGTAGAGGCAATGGAGAATATGCCTGGTATTATGAAGGAAGAAATGGGTGGTGGCAGTATGATGAACGCACCAGCAGGGAGTTGGAAGATGCTTTCTCCAAAGGTAAAAAGAGCACTGAAATGTTAATTGCTGGGTTTCTGTATGTTGCTGATCTTGAAAACATGGTTCAATACAGAAGAAACGAACATGGACGGCGTAGGAAAATTAAACGGGATATAATAGATATACCAAAGAAGGGAGTGGCTGGACTTAGACTTGACTGTGACTCTACTGCAGTTAACTTAGCAAGAGAGAGCTCTGCAGATGGAGCGGACAATCTATCAGCCCAGGCTGGGGCTTCTGTGCTGCCTCTAGTGTCTACTTCTGTTAGACCCTTAACGTCACTAGATGGCCAGTTAACAAGCCCTGCAACACCTTCACCTGATGCAAGCACTTCTCTAGAGGACACTTTTGCTCATTTGCAAATCAGTGGAGACAGCATGGCTGAAAGGAGTCACAGGGGAGAGGGAGAGGAAGACCATGAATTACTGTCTTCAGGCAGGGTACCAGCACCAGATGCCTCTGTGGAGGAAACCGAATCAGATGCTAGTAGTGATAGTGAGGATGTATCTACTCACATTGCACAACACTTATCTTCAACTCAGCAGAGACATTTGGTTCCAAATGTGAATCAGATAGCAGCTGATAGACCTGCAGCAGGGGGTGGAGCAGTGAGTGCCAGTGTCAGGTCTAGAAGACCTGATGGACAGTGCACAGTAACTGAAGTTTAAAGATGTTGTCAGCCACATGTTCAAGAATACAAGTACATCTGTGATGGTATCTGTAAATTTCTGCCCATGAGACATTACACTCATCCCCTAGTAGTGTATTTTGGGGTTAGGGGGTGGGAAAGGGGAATGGGAAGAATTGGCCTGTAACTAAAACGTCTAATATGTCTCTGGAAAATTTATTTAAAAGTCAGGAACTTGGGTGTTGATAGTTGAAAGCTACTTAGCAATACCCAGTTTTTCTTCTAAAAGTCTTTTTATTTTGTAGTGGGTTTTTTTTTTGTTTGTTTGTTTGTTTTTGTTTTTTGAGATCCTCAATCCTTTTGGCCACTGTGTATTTCTCTGTGCATTAACTGTCTTCGTTATCTGACTGTTGCATTGTGTCTTATTTCTCTGCATGGATCGACATATGGAAAGAACACTAAACTTGGGAGCAATATGAGGTGCTGGTTATTGATGAGAGCAGGGTGCCTAATTTAATATGAAAATAGATCATGTTTGGAAGTTACGAGGGATGTTTTAAATAGACAAACAGCAACCATTTTATCTTGCAAGTTCTCAAAATGAAAATAAACAGCTAATAACTTCTGTTCCAAAATCCTGACTGTAACATACATCATAGTGTTCCCATAAGCTTTGCTGTCTAGTCCTTGTAGTTTGAGGTTTCTCCTAATCTGTCTCATCTTTTTCTTTTTTTGTTATAAAATTTATAATTTAATAAATAGTACAGTTTGTCAAAATAACCTGTGGCTGCTTGTCCTTTGTTGGAATCTGAGTGGGAAAAGGGATTTTTTTTTTCCCCCAGAACTTGTTTCCCCTAAAGATTGGTGTGTTTGAAACACTAGCATAATAGTAATCTGTTTAAGACTTGTAAGAGAACAATGTATGATTTCTCCTTGTGCTCTCTTGGAAAGTACTAAAAAACATACTGTATGAAAATGAAACCATTGCTTTCAGAAGCTTTAATTTCAGAAGAACACTGCAAATATTTCTGTTAACTAGGTGAAGCCTCTTGATGTAGTGAAAGCATTGAACCAAGAGTTAGAAGGTTGAATCTTCATTCTATTTGCTGTATAAACTCAATTGAGCGAGTTCATTGGGTTGTAGTTTTCTTTATAAAATGAGAATGACAATACTTGTACAGTACTTCAAAGGGTTATTATGAGGAAGTTGTTTTATAAATTTAAAGTATTCTTATTTGTGGTTTCAACATGAACAGAGGTCATATAGCAGTCTCATAAGAAAATCCAAACCTGGACACAGATTCTTACTATTTGTCCTAAGTGTGTACTTTAGACATGAACTCTTAATTTTATTGGGTAAGCCACATTGTCTTTTTTTTTTCCCCCCTTCCCCCCTTCCACAATGGATGTATTATATAGTTAGCTTGGTAATCTTGGATCTGGCACTGTAGCTGTTCCCATAACTTTAAGCAGTTCTGAATTTATTGCTTTTGCACTTTCCTAACTCACATATTTAGATGTTAGACTTGACATTTTACACAGATATGAGATTCTCTTTTTTACATAATGAGTGGACCTTATACATGTAAATTACTTTAAAAGTCATCTTACTGTCAATCATGGGTCTTTCTGACTATAATAGTTTTTATATTACTACTGAAGCTTCATTATATTTGACCCAGACTTAGGAGATTAAAACTCCTGCAACAATTGAGCCTCCTACCACCCTTTGAGGAAGCTTCTCAGTCTCTCTCATGGGATAGAGGCAAGACTTCTGCAAGCAACAGTTTTCAGAATTCTTCATGGACTTCTGCTTGACTACTTGACTACATTTTAACTCTCTGGTCTCTAGTTTCTACACCTACTAAATGAGACTGGATTAGCTGATCTCAATTTGCTTCCAGTTCTGTACCTATGATACTGTGACCTTTACTCACAGGATCTCTGCCCAGATGGGACAGGATGGTTTGTCCTATCTCATCTGACTTGCCCTATTTCCATTGCTGAATGATGCTGAGTGACACTTTTGATGTTTCCTTGTGCTCTGAAACAGATAGTTAACAGCATCTGGGTCAGACAGGATCAAAGCATTATATGATAACACTATTCCAGGGTGGGGAACCTGTGGTCTCAAGGTTACATGTGGCCCTCTAGGTCCTCAAGTGCGGCCCTTTGACTGAATCCAGACTTCACAGAGCAAATCCCTGTAATAAAAGGATTTGTTCTGTAAAACTAGGATTCAGTCAAAAGGCTGCACCTAAGGATATAGCAGGCCACAGGTTCCCTACCCCTTCATTGTTCCGTCTCTTTTAAGATTTGATTTGGAATGGACCTGCCTGCCTTAGTAGATCCTTTTTAGAAGGTCTGGCAGGTCCTATCTGGAATGAATTGATGCTGGCAAAAGTAATTACAGACCTATCAGCTCTCCTTGCAGGTTTACTAGAGTGGAGTATTTGATAAACCTGATAGGCATGGAATATTTGGATGCCAACAAGACATTTTCAGTGTTTCTCATAATAGCATTGTGGATAAGCTGGCGATGTGTAAGGTGTGGCTTACAGTACAAAATCCTGTCTGAAAAACCGGCCAGAGATTTTTCTAGGCACAGTGGTCTGTCTGGAACATACTATCTTTACCTGAAGCACCACTGACGTTTTTCTACCTTTGCCCTTATTTTGTTCAACATTTTTATTAATTATTTGGATAAAAGGATAGGTACTGTCTTTATACTGGAAGCAGCTAGTGGCACAGTGAATAATCACTGGCTATGGAGTCAAGAAGACCTGAGTTCAAATCCCACCTAAGACACTAGCAGTGTGAACCTGGGCAAGTCACCTGTTTGCCTCAGTTTCCTCAACTATAAAATGGAGATAATTACACCTATCTCATGGTTGTTCTGAGGATCAAATGAAATATTTATAGACACTTAGCCCAGTCCATTCTATAGAATAGACACTGTAAATCATTTACTTCCCATATTCTTTTTTTGTGGATAACAAAACTAAGACAGCTAAAATATTGGATAATAAATCAGGATCCAAAAAGGTCTTGACAAATTAGGACAGTGAGCCCAAAACTAAAACCAAAAAATTGAATAGGAATAAAAGTTAAAATCCTAATATGTATTTAAAAATAACCACAGTACAGGCTTAGAAAGATGTGGCTAGGCAAGAGTTTATATAAAAAAAGACCAAGGGAGATTACTGACCAAGTTTAAGCAGTCAAGTTTGAAGTGATAGCCAACAAACTTAAACTTGGCTTACATTGCATTAATGGATAACTAGGTTTGGAATGGAAGAAGTTGTAGTCGTATTGTAATCTATGCTGAACAGGCTAAATGGAGTTCATTTCTGGGTGTCATATTTTAGGATGGAAATTGACAACTGGAAGCAAGTTCAGAGGATGATGAGGAACCTCAAAGCTGTGCCATGCCTGCAGGTACTAGTTGAAGGATTTAGGGAATCTATTCTGGAGTAGGTAAAAAAAAAAAAAAGACAGTGGGAATAAAAATACGAATATCGCTAAGTTTTTGAAAGGCAGCCATAAGGAGGTGGCATTAGTCTTGGTTTATTTAGCTCTAGGGAGAGTATACAAGGAACACTGGGTAGAAATTGCAGACAAGGCAGGTTACAACTCAAGTTAGTGAAAACTTCCAAACTTCTCTAGAAATAAAATGGGCTGTCAGAGCCCATTCTCCATTTCTGAGTATATGAAAACTTGTTGGGACATATTATAGCAGATAGGTACTATATTCTTTTATGGTTTGGACTAAATGAACCTGAGTTTCCTTCCAGCACAGTTTCTGTTAAGATTATTCCTTGATTCTCTTATATGAAAGCTAAAGTTTTTAGCCCTGCAGGTAATGTGGTATAGTCTTAACTGAACAGACATTAACATACCAATAAGCAAAAATGTTCCACCAGTGTAAAACTAGCATTTTATCTTTCAGTAGGTTGGAGGGATCTACATACTTAGAGAGAATTTTTTTTTTTGTTAATTAATCACTGGATCATAGATACAGAGTTAGAAGGGACCTTAAAGATCACAGTGTAGCCTCCTCATTTTCCAGACTGAAACTGAGGCACAAAACGGTTGAGACTTGTGCAGGGTTACACAAATCACAGGTAGTTTCTAATGTGGGGTTTGAATTCTTTCTAATTCTAAAATCCAGTTTCCTGTGTTACATAATGCTGCTCTTTTTGTACAGATTTCTAAAAAGCTTTATTAATGGCCCTTGTTTCTTTTGCACCAGTCATTAATCAATATGCCCGTCTCATTTAACTATCCTTTATAACAAAGAAAAACACAGCAAAACTAACAATTTAATTAGCCAGTATATATACACACACACACAACACACACACACACACACACAATATTTGGCACCTGTACCCACCCTACCTTACTTCTAAGAGGAAAGAAATGTGTTATATTGAGGGTCCATAATATTGGTAGATAAGAAAAGAATGAAAAATAGTCTTTAGTCTTCTGAGCTTAGTTGTTAAATGAAAAATAAAACAATTTTTGACAGTTTTCAGGGCAACAGTATAATTTCTGATTTAAAATATACTTTTAAACAGATTAGAGTAACAAATTCATAATTCCTATTTCCAACAGAAAAATTGCTAAGGCCTATTTATATTTAATTCAATATGTTATGTTTCTGTTTTTTAAACATTTTTGCAGTTGGAAATGTTTGTTTTCAAAGTATCATGTTCTTTACTGACTACTTGTTAAATTTTATTTGTTTAGCAATAGCCTGCAAATTAGCAGGTCCACCCCAAAGGGTGCTTAAAACATCTCTTTCGGTCTCTAATGCCTCTTCTAAAGCAAGTTCTTTTCCTGAAGAAACTACAGTCTTCAAAGCTCTAATTACTTCTGGTGGACCACTAATAAATTGTTGTAGCCATCTTTGTGCTTCTTGTAAAGACTGATCTTCATCAGAAGATTGCAGAATCTCATCAGCTATTCCTATTTTTAGGGCTACTGTAGGATCCAGTTTGAGAGCTCCACTTAACACTTTGAGGGTTTGTCTGCTGCCAATAATTTCAGTCAGTCGAGCAGTTCCACCCCAACTTGGTATTATGCCCATTTCTTTATGGACAAATCTGATCTCACTTGATGGAGTCATTAGCCTATACAAGACAAAAAAAAAATGACAAGTTAATTATGTAACCTAAATGTGTTACTTTATTTTTTTAATTTTTTTTTTTTTAGGCAATTGGGGTTCAAAGTGACTTGCCCAGGGTCACACAGCTAGTAAGTGTCAAGTGTTTGGTCTGAGGCCGGATTTGAACTCAGGTCCTCCTGACTTCAGGGCTGGTGCTCTATCCACTGCGCCACCTAGCTGCCCCTTAAAATTTTTTTTAAATGTGTTACTTTAAAATGCTACTCTGACTCATACTGAAAAGTGAAAATCAAATATTTTTGCATTATAGATAAGAATCCAAAATTATGAAATCTATCTTCATTAGCTATGGATTCAGTATATACACAGTACTTCATCCTAATAGCACAGTCCCATTGAAAGTAGTGCCACATTTTAAAAAAATAGTCTAATATTTGTTTTTTTAAATGATAAACTTTTGTGATTGCTGCATTATTTTCATTTAGTTTTAAGAGTATAATGGAGAAATGTAGAATAACTACAAATGTTTTGTTTTGATTACACAAGGAATATTAAGTATTTGATATATAAGAAGAGAAAACTAGCAGTACTACTAGTCAGAACACAAAAAAACTTAAGACAGAATAGATCTTACTTTTGCTTCCACCTCTACATTCAGTGTGATAGAATAACATGATTCCCTAGAGCAGGAGTAAATCACATTTTGACAAGGAGCCATTTAAAAATATTTCTAAAATTTGAAATCACTGAGGGAGAGGGAAAGAAAGAAAGAGCATGCCAAGAATTGTCTGAGGAGAGCACTGAGAAGAAAACAGGCTGACTAAATGAGCCTGTTATGCCCCCTTTTTCTCTATGGATCTATTTCCATAAACAATTTTCTCCAAGTATTATTGACCTATCTTTGCTGGAACAGCTGATCTCCACCAAGAACCTCTACTTCAAACCAATCTGAGGAAGCTATAATTGGATTAATTTACCTGAGGAAATGTATTTAATAATAGGGCAAAATATGCACTTTCTACCCCCTCAGGCTTTCTTCACTAGGCTGATCTTAGTAATCATGAATCTCAAACCCTGCAGTGTCTTGATATTTGTTTAATAAATAGGAACATTTGGAGACCCCCATCATCTACAGGGAGCCTATCTTCAATTTTGATTCTGCACCCAGTACACACCTCCATCTCAGTAGCACACATCTTGATTGATAATGTAAATCAGAACTGTGGTTTTATCTATCAGTGAATCTTATATGATTGTACCATAGTACAAAGAAGCACCTTGTCAGAGGAAGGCCAGAAGAACTTGAAAGTCGGAGGACTTTAAGGAAATCAGGAAAACTGGGATTTTTAAATTCACTACATTTTTCATTATATTTTATGATTAAGAAAACATGGTTCATAGAAAATCGTCTGCAGAGGTTTGCCTCTCCCTTTTTAATTTTCAAAGAAAGTCTTGAGACATGCATTTTGGTTATCATCAAAGTTTTTGCAGAAATGGGAAAGGCAGGTATGTGGGTTGGTAGGTGTTAGTGTTTTTTGGGTAGCCCTTTTGGGGAAATTCATGTTTTTTGTTTTTTTTAATTATTTGGTAGCAACTTTCCATCCTAAAATATTTTAAAATTCAATCTTTATTTGTCTTTGAAATTGTAGGGACTCTGGCACTGATTTCTTTGACGTGTGCTTGTCAGGTCTGCTGTTTTAATTTTATCATCCTATTTTCCATTTACTGAGGTGGCAGAATTCAAATACGGTGTTTCCACTGTCAACAAAAACAGATAACTAAAAATGTTGGCTAACATCCCTATTTTTTTGGTTATTTTGTTTTTCTTCCAGTTCAATCAGTCATTAAGCATTTATCAAGCACCTGTTATAAATTGCTGGTGATCCAAATGCAAAGCAGGAAGCTCATTGTAGTTATGGAGTGTGGGTAAGGTAAGCAGGAGAACAAGACACACATAAGTAAATAAGGGATATATTCAAACTAAATTAGAAGTATGGGGGGGGTCCAAAAAAGTAGGGATATAAGGAAAGACCTTTTGTAGGAGGTGCAAATCACAAAGGTGAGTAATAGAATGTCTTCTATTCAGGAAAGAGCAAGCAGGCCAGGGGAAGTAGAGTATAATCAGCCTGGAAAGACAGAATGCAGCAAGTTTGCGAAAGGCTTAAAATGCCAAACATTTTATATTTTATCCCAAAGGCAACTGAGAGCCACTGAAGCTTCTTGAACATGAGAGTGATGATGAGACTTGTATCAATTTGGTAGTTGGATGGAAGATGACATAGAGAAGGGAGAGACTTAAAGCAGGGAGACCAGTTAGGCAGCTATTGCAATAGTTTGGGTGAGAAGTGATGAGAGCTGGAGTTAGGGTGGTAGTATTGTGAGATAAGGAGACCAAACTGGCTAAGAGAAGGAGAAAGGTATCCTCAGCTATTTCTCACCATCATGGTTGTAATCTACCTCTCTGGTTAACTGGTAAAGTGAATTGAGAAAACAAAGGATGCTAGCCTTCATGAGACACTAAATTAGCAGTCACTCAAGAACTGAGAAACAACTCTAAACTTGGTAACTATATGAAGATCTCATTCTGCTCAAAACTGTCCAAAAATATCTTTGAAATAGGTTTTCTTGTAGAGAAATATAAGGAAATTGAAATGAGAATCTTTAAGGATAGAAAAGCATTAGGTTTCCTGAAATCAACTCGAGTTAGGTGTCCTAACTCCTAATCAGTTGCTGCTTTAGTCCCATCACCAACAAAAACAAACAACCCTTTCTTCCTTAGTTCCCATTTAATCAAACAAAATCTTCCAACAGAGAACTTACAATAGTGTATTCAGCCACCCAAAGGGAATAGGAACTTTGTCTTAAACAGCTGTGAATGCCCAAAAGGGAGACCTCAGTGTTAAACTACTATTCAAAGAGAAAAACAGCTATTAAAACATCACTTCAAATTTAATTTTTCTCTTTCTTGTCTCCTAAAACTTCCTCTTTCCAGAATGCTGTCATACTTCTTATTCAAAAAGATGAAGGGAGATATTGCTTTTATGTAAAAACAAGTTATATAATCTACATTAATGGTTGGTTAAAAAATTGTATTAAATAATAATGGTAATCCGAGGCCGAGGCAGTATCTATTTTTTCCCCAGAATTCGTAATGAGAGCATTTTATTTTTTTTAGTAGTGAGCTTACTGTTCTCAATCATTTAAGTAAAAGATTATCCTTACATAATATAGTATCCTTATATAATGCAAATGTACAGCTAGACACAATAGTCTTAAACGTGATATCTAATACATTAAATCTGTCCGTAAATTACACCACTATAGGTTGGTCTGCAATTGATGACTTTGGACAGATGAAACAAAGGAAATACATAGTGATAGGTCAATTAGGAAAAGCTACATGTGATTATTATTAATACATAATAAAAGTTACAGATCTTAAATTGTAGAGCAAGAAGTCATGACCACATGTAGTTCAAGGCACTCACACAGAGGCAATATTCATTGTTTTAACCATTTTCTTTTTCCAGGAGATGGGCTCCTTTTTTGGAACTGAAACCTCAGTACAGAGATGAAATAATGTAAAAGAAAATAAAATGTTTGTCTAGACAACTTGAATATCTGTCCCCTAGAAACAATTGTTTAAAGCTTGACATTAGATCAAATCTGGCCTCAGACACTTACTAGCTGTGCCACCCTAGGCAAGTTACTTAACCCTGTTTACCTCAGTTTCCTCATCCATAAAATGAGGTGAAGAAGGAAATGGCAAACCACTCTAGTATCTTTGCCAAGAAAACCCCAAATGGGATCATGAAGAGTTGAACACAACTGAAATGACTGAACAACAAAATAAAGTCTTTTAACAGAGCATAATCGCTTTGATGTTTTTTATGAATAGCTTGACTCTAAAAACTGGGATGACTTCATTATTTAAAACTGGGTATTAAGGAATAAGGAAACTGAATTTTTAATTTAAAAATGTCTAATGTTACATAAGTAAATGTTCAAAGGCATAGTCAGAAAATAAAAAGAAACAACAAGAAGCATCCATTTTGAATAGCATTTCTTTGTCTTTTGTAAAACTCCTTGAACAGATTGGACTCTTTGCTATATTAGAATTGTCTTATTGTGGAATAATTGAATGTACGAGATGGAAGAAACCATGCAGATCGCCTAGTTCAATTCTCTTATTTTACAGATGAGGAAACTGAAAGCAAGGGAGGTAACATGCTTTGCCCAAGGTCATAGAACCTTGTAAGTGTAACAGCTAGACTTGACCCTAAATATTCTAACTCCTGGTCCAGTCCTCTTTCCAACTTGCAGCATTTATAATAAATTATGGACAAATTTTTTTTGGGGGGGGGGTCAAATGGTGACTTTTTTCCTGCTTTTGGGGGGGGGAGGGGAGTGGTTAGTTGCTAGAAAACAAAGCCAAATCCAATGCCTACCTATAGGAATTATCACATCTCACATGCCTGGTAACCGCTATTCCTTCTGCTCTTTTAAGTGGTCCTTTTATCCTTAATTGTCATATTTCACATATTTCACATTTTTTATAAGCCCCCTCAATGCCTTTTGGAACCTAGATGTGTTACAAATACTATAAAAATCATATTTAAAGTCATGATTTGCTGATACAGGGAAAAGGGGTATTTCTCATTGCCTTATTATACTACCTAGAAAAACTTAATTCAGATGCATTCATTCATTTTAATAATTTATTTATTTATTATGGGCAGCTAGGTGGCACAATGGATAGAGCACCGACCCTGGATTCAGGAGGACATGAGTTCAAATCCGGTCTTAGACACATAACACTTACTAGCTATGTGACCCAGGGCAAGTCACTTAACCCCATTGCCTGGCAAAAACAAAAAAAAAAGCAAAAATAAGCATTTATTACTATGTGCCAGGCACTGTGTACTAGGCAACACAAAGATAAAAACAAAACAATCCCTGTCCTCAAATAGCTTGTATTCTATTGCAGGGAAAGAACACTGACATATT